TCCTGTAGGTGTAAGTAAGGCTATGGTCTGTTGTGTCACGTTATTCATGTAAGTGTAATTACGGTCATGGTATGTGTTATCACGTTTGTTCTGTAAGTGTAAGTACGGTCATGGTCTGTGATATCACGTTAGTCCTGTAAGTGTACTGTAAGTGTAGGAAAGGCGATGGTCTGTTGTGTCACATTATTCATGTAAGTGTAAGTACGGCCATGGTCTGTAATATAACGTTAGTCCTATAAGTGTAAATAAGGCTACGGTCTGTAGTATCACGTTAGTCCTGCAAGTGTAATTAAGGCCCTGATCTGTGGTATCACGTTAGTCCTGTAAGTGTTAGTAAGGCTATGGTCTGTTGTTTCATGTTAGTTCTGTAAGTGTACTGTAAGTGTACGAAAGGCAATGGTCTGTTGTGTCACGTTAGTCATGTAAGTGTAAGTACGGTCATGGTCTGTGGTATAACGTTTGTTCTGTAAGTGTAAGTACGGTCATTGTCTGTAATATCACATTAGTTCTGTAAGTGTAAGTACGGTCATGGTCTGTTGTATCACGTTAGTCCTGTAAGTGTACAGTAAGTGTACGTAAGGCCATGGTCTGTTGCAATGTATCACGTTAGTCATGTACGTGAAAGTACGGCCACTGTCTGTGGTATCACGTTAGTTCTGTAAGTGTAAGTACGGTCATGGTCTGTGGTATCACGTTAGTTCTGTAGGTTTAAATAAGGCCATGGTCTATGGTATCACGTTAGTTCTGTAAGTGTAAGTACGGTCATGGTCTGTGGTATCACGTTAGTTCTGTTAGTGTTTGTACGGTCATGGTCTGTTGTATCACGTTAGTCCTGTAAGTGTATTGTACATTGTAAGTGTACGTAAGGTCATGGTCTGTGGTATCACGTTAGTTCTGTAGGTTTAAGTAAGGCCATGGTCTGTGGTATCACGTTAGTTCTGTAAGTGTATTGTAAGTGTACGTAAGGCCATGGTCTTTTGTATCACTTTAGTCCTGTAGGTGTAGGTACGGTCATTTCGGTGGTATCACGTTAGTCCTGTAAGTGTCATTAAGGCCATGGTCTGTTGTGTCACGTTATTCATGTAAGTATAATTACGGTCATGGTATGTGTTATCACGTTAGTCCTGTAAGTGTACTGTAAGTGTACGAAAGACGATTGTCTGTTGAGTCACGTTTTTCATGTAAGTGTAAGTACGGTCATGGTCTGTGATATCACGTTAGTCCTGTAAGTGTAAGTACGGTCATTGTCTGTAATATACCGTTAATCCTATAAGTATAAGTAAGGCTACGGTCTGTGGTATCACGTTAGTCCTGTAAGTGTAATATAAGGCCATGGTCTATTGTATCACGTTCGTTCTGTAAGTGTACTGTAAGTGTACGAAAGGCAATGGTCTGTTGTGTCACGTTAGTCATGTAAGTGTAAGGACGGTTATAGTCTTTGGTATCACGTTAGTTCTGTAAGTGTAAGGCAGGCCATGGTCTGTAGTATCACGTTAGTCCTGTAAGTGTAATATAAGGCCATGGTCTGTTGTGTCACGTTAGTCATGTAAGTGTAAGTACGGTTATAGTCTTTGGTATCACGTTAGTCCTGTGAGTGTAAGTAAGGCTATGGTCTGTAGTATCACGTTGGTCCTGTAAGTGTAATATAAGGCCATGGTCTGTTGTGTCACGTTAGTCATGTAAGTGTTATAACGGTTATGGTATGTGTTATCACGTTAGTTCTGTAAGTGTAATAACGGTCATGGTCTGTTGTATCACGTTAGTTCTGTAAGTGTACTGTAAGTGTACGAAAGGCAATGGTCTGTTGTGTCACGTTAGTCATGTAAGTGTTATAACGGTTATGGTATGTGTTATCACGTTAGTTCTGTAAGTGTAATAACGGTCATGGTCTGTTGTATCACGTTAGTCCTGTAAGTGTACTGTAAGTGTACGAAAGACGATTGTCTGTTGAGTCACGTTTTTCATGTAAGTGGAAGTACGGTCATGGTCTGTGATATCACGTTAGTCCTGTAAGTTTAAGTACGGTCATTGTCTGTAATATACCGTTAATCCTATAAGTATAAGTAAGGCTACGGTCTGTGGTATCACGTTAGTCCTGTAAGTGTACTGTAAGTGTACGAAAGACGATTGTCTGTTGAGTCACGTTTTTCATGCAAGCGTAACTACCGTCATGGTCTGTGATATCACGTTAGTCCTGTAAGTGTAATATAGGGCCATGGTCTATTGTATCACGTTCGTTCTGTAAGTGTACTGTAAGTGTACGATAGGCAATGGTCTGTTGTGTCACGTTAGTAATGTAAGTGTTATAACGGTTATGGTATGTGTTATCACGTTAGTTCTGTAAGTGTAAGTCGTTCTGTAAGTGTACTGTAAGTGTACGAAAGGCAATGGTCTGTTGTGTCACGTTAGTCATGTAAGTGTTATAACGGTTATGGTATGTGTTATCACGTTAGTTCTGTAAGTGTAATAACGGTCATGGTCTGTGGTATCACGTTAGTCCTGTAAGTGTACTGTAAGTGTACGAAAGACGATTGTCTGTTGAGTCACGTTTTTCATGTAAGTGGAAGTACGGTCATGGTCTGTGATATCACGTTAGTCCTGTAAGTGTAATATAAGGTCATGGTCTGTGGTATCACGTTAGTTCTGTTAGTGTTTGTACGGTCATGGTCTGTTGTATCACGTTAGTCATGTAAGTGTACTGTAAGTGTACGTAAGGCCATGGTCTGTTGTGTCACGTTATTCATGTAAGTGTCCTATATGTGTAATAACGGTCATGGTCTGTGATATCACGTTAGTCTTGTGAGTGTAAGTAAGGCCATGGTCTGTTGTATCACGTTAGTCCTGTAGGTGTAAGTACGGTCATTTCGGTGGTAGCACGTTAGTGCTGTAAGTGTAATTAAGGCCCTGGTCTGTGGTATCACGTTAGTCCTGTAAGTGTTAGTAAGGCTTTGGTCTGTTGTTTCACGTTAGTTCTGTAAGTGTACTGTAAGTGTACTGTACATGTATGTGTTATCACGTTAGTTCTGTAAGTGTAAGTACGGTCATGGTCTGTGGTATCACGTTAGTCCTGTAAGTGTAAGTACAGCCACTGTCTGTGGTATCACATTAGTCCTGTAAGTGTAAGTACGGTCATGATCTGTGGTATCACGTTAGTCCTGGAAGTGTAAGAACGGCCACTGTCTGTGGTATCACGTTAGTCCTGTTAGTCAATCTGATTAAAATCATCTGTTACCTGGCTCCGCCAGGCGTAGTAACATATGATTTTAATCAGATTGTCATGTAAGTGTTTATCACGTTAGTCCTGTTCATGTAAATCGCACGGGCAATGTCACGAGCACATGTGGTCAAGTGAATATTCTTTTTAGTATGATACTACCCTTCCTAAGAATATATAACTCTACAGTGTACATGTTAGAGCCTGCATACCGACTATTGACATGGTAATCATAACGATTATCGTCAGCATTGTAACCCTAAGAAGATTACAAAAATGTCGTTTCAATATTTTATATTTCATAATGTCATACACTACAATTCCTCAAAGCAAAATATGAATAGTGTAATTTAAGTAAACTGAAGACAGGGACTGTCGGCAGGTGTCTGGATGGTGGCGTACTGGTGAATGGGTATAACGGAACAATGGTAGGTAGGGTCATTGTGCCAGTCTCGGCGACTTCCTAGTTGTTCGTTAGAGCTGTTACGCCACAGCTGTCCACACGCGAACAGAATACGTTATAGTACATGTGACTATCCCCTGAGGAACATCTCAATCTTAAGTACATGTATATCTGTTAACATAAGCGTATACCGAATGAAGAGTCACCCCGTCCATCCCCCGTTGTATGATCTTCAAATTTCACGTTTTACTGCCCACATTTTATACGTTATGTTAAATGGCCCCGTTTCTCTGAATGTGTGGTCCCGCCTCCCTCATTTGGATAAATCAGTATGGAATGTCATCGCTTAGAGATTGCATCTTTCTTATTGATAGATCATGATCATCTTTGATCATTTCTGTAAAGAAATGTAGATTTTAATTAAAACGAAATAAACTATACTCCTAAGGATAAAGAATAAAGGCAGGCTCTAATGCAGGCTATTATGCTACTAGTATTTACATAATCAAATATTCGTGTAACCATATCTAATAGAATCGCCTTCCTTGATGGGGCTAAATCTTTGTGTTAAATGATAGCAATTGTTTACCTGAGAACACACGAACCTATCCAAGGTAATCAACAATATGTAATTTATGCTCAACTAGATTGATGTTCAACTACTTAACATTGAGAAAAATGCCTGTTCCTCTGTAGTTTTTAATTGCTGGTCGTATTCTGTCCGCTTTAAAGTTCGCTAATTACTTAGCAAACCTAACCAACCATACCCTTGACATTTTTTTGTTTTCGCCCGGACAATGCCATGGCTGATGGAGTGATGTTACACCAGTCGTATCATCGGCTTAATGAAAAGAAAGCCACCGTATGCACTTAGAACTGTTGCAGACCTAATTGAAGAAGGCTGTTCAGGCAAGCATTGTGCCAGCACGGCAGGAAGAGAAGACCTTCTCGTGAAGGGAAACCATGCAAAAGAAACACAACTCTATTTGTCCAGCCCTTTTGGGGTGTGTGACGGAAGAGCGCCCGTTCATCATTCGAGAGGAAGGCGAGCAGTTTAATTTCCACCACTCATGATTATACATTACCTTCTTCATTGACGGAAGACTGTCATATGCAATACCTGTAAGATTTAAAAGTACTTGCAAGATCTAATTGGTTCCAAGATTTCGAAATCAAAACGGCTTAATACAGACTTAATCGATCAAATTTAGCTATCAATTAAGGCACTTGGTAGGATAACAATAATAAATATCTCCACCAGACGTTCATATTGGCCCCTGTTGGGCTTCACGCTTTATTAAAACCACTGAACCTGCTATAAAGATTGGAGAGAAAATGATGATCTTCATAATCTTTTAATGCGCTTGATACACTGCATCTCTCATGGAATCAGCCGTCAAACACAAACAGACTGACCAACAGCCGGACAGAACGCCTATAGATGAGGGAAAAAAATGTAATTTGGACAATGCTGATCAACAAATAAAATTTTCTATTCGGAACATCCTACAGTTACCGAGCGAAGCTCAGGGTGAAGATGAACATCCTGGTAAGTTATTTTGCTTGTGTACGTTAACAGTTCAACGCCTTATACGTATCTCTATCTCTGTTAGTTAAGCTAACACGTTTATTTAGGGTTCATTGTTCATTTGTGGATGATTTTACATTTACCTCAGTAATTTTTAGTAAATTTGAAGGTTGAACACCTTGCAAGTTGTATTTAAGATATTCTCCACGGACAATTAGTTTACAGAAAACGTATATGGATTGCTATTGTTAATTAATCCATACGCTGATAAGTTAAGCTGGTTAAAATTTGTTTCTCTGTAGAAATATTGCTGTCGAGTATACTTCTGGCTAATTGCAAAGTAAATTACGTCTTGGTGAACAAGCGGTTACATGCCTTGATAGTTAACCGTACAGACAGGGCATGTCGGTGACGTGACTTAACAGGTTGTGACGATATGAAATGTTAGAAGCTAGACTTAGAAATGTCATTATATGAGATCTAAGGTGGTAAAGTTATACTTCGTTGTTTTTGTTAAATATTGTTCACTTAACATTAAGGCAGATATTTTGCGTAATTCCAGATGTGAATTTTGATGTCAAGGCGATATTCCTTTGCTATCTACGTAATTTATGGTATTTCAATCTGTTATGAATATTTCAATTTGATTCGAAGTGTTTATTTTAAGTGATATTGCTATATCGCGTTTATTCAAGGATATATTGCTATATCGCATATTACCTTATCACGTTTCTTCAGGGTGATATCACGTTGTCACGTTTCTTTAAGGGTGATATTACGTTGTCACGTTTCTTTAGGGTGATATTAAGTTGTCACGTTTCTTTAGAGTGATATTACGTTGTCACGTTTCTTAAGGGTGATACTACGTTGTCGCGTTTCTTTAGGGTGATACTACGTTGTCACGTTTCTTTAGAGTGATATTACGTTGTCACGTTTCTTTAGGGTGATATTACGTTGTCACGTTTCTTTAGGGTGATATGAAGTTGTCACGTTTCTTTAGAGTGATATTACGTTGTCACGTTTCTTTAGGGTGATATTACGTTGTCGCGTTTCTTTAGGGTGATATTACGTTATCACATTTCTTTAAGGTGATATTGCTGTTTAACGGTTATTTAAGGTGATTTTGCTATATCACGTTTTATCTAAGGTGACATTACTACATGTATATCACGTTTTATTTAAGGTGCATTACTATATATCACGTTTTATTTAAGGTGACATTACTATATATCACGTTTTTTTAAGGTGATATTGCTTTATCACGTTTTTTAAGGTGATATTAATGTATCACTTTCATTTAAGATGATGTTACTATATCGGTTTTTTTAAGGTGATGTTACTATATCACGTTTATTTAAGGTGAGGTTGCTGTATCACTTTTATTTAAGGTGATATTACTATATCACGTTTTATTTGAGGTGACATTATTATATATCACGTTTTATTTAAGGTGATATTGCTTTATCACGTTTTATTTAAAATTAATTTAATATATCGCGTTTATTTAATATAAATTTACTACATCGCATATTTTTAAGGTGATGTTGCTAAATGTATATCACGTTTATTTAAGGTGATGTTGCTATATCGGGTTTATTTAAGGTGATATTACTATATCATGTTTTTTAAGTTGATATTACTATATCACGTTTATTTAAGGTGATATTACTATATCATGTTTTTTAAGTTGATATTACTATATCACGTTTATTTAAGTTGATATTTCTATATCACGGTTTTTTAAGGTTATATTACTGTATCACTTTAATTTAAGATGATGTTGTTATATCGTGTTTATTTAAGATGATGTCGCTATATCGGGTTTATTTAAGGTGATGTTGCTATATCGCGTTTATTTAAGCTGATGTTGCTATATCGTGTTTATTTAAGGTGATGTTGCTAGGTGATGTTAATATGTCACGTTTATGTAAGGTGATGTTGCTATATCGTGTTTATTTAAGATGATGTTGCTATATCGCGTTTATTTAACGTGATGTTGCTATATCGTGTTTATTCAATGTAATATTGCTATATCACGTTTTTGTAAGGTGATATTACGGTATCACTTTTATTCAAGATGATGTTGCTATATCGTGTTTATTTAAGATGATGTTACTATATCATGCTTTTTAAGTTGATATTACTGTATAACTTTAATTTAAGGTGATGTTGCTATATCACGTTTATTTAAGGTGATATTACTGTATAAATTTAATTTAAGGTGATGTTTCTATATCGTGTTTATTTTAAGTAATATTGCTATATCGCGTTTATTTAAGGTGATGTTGCTATATCACAGTAATTTAAAGTAATGTTGCTATATCACTTTTATTTAAGGTGATGTTGCTATATCACGTTTATTTAAGGTGATGTTGCTATATCACTATTATTGAAGGTGATATTACTGTATAACTTTAATTTAAGGTGATGTTGCTATATCGTGTTTATTTTAAGTAATGTTGCTATATCGCGTTTATTTAAGGTGATGTTGCTATATCACGTTTATTTAAAGTAATGTTGCTATATCACTTTTATTTAAGGTGATGTTGCTATATCGCATTTATTTAAAGTGATGTTACTATATCACGTTTATTTAAGTTGATGTTACTATATCACGGTTTTTTAATGTGATATTAATGTATTACTTTTATTTAAGATAATGTTGCTATATCAGGTTTGTTTAAGGTGATGTTGCTATATCGTAGTTATTTAAAGTGATGTTGCTATATCGCTTTTATTTAAGGTGATGTTGCTAGGTGATGTTAATATATCACGTTTATGTAAGGTGATGTTGCTATATCCTGTTTATTTATGATGATGATGCTATATCGCTTTTATTTAACGTGATGTTGCTAAATTGCGTTTATTTAAGGTGATATTGCTATATCACTTTTATTTTAAGATGATATTGCTATATCGTGTTTATTTAATGTGATATTGCTTTATCAATTTTATTTAAGGTGATATTGCTATATCGTGTTTATTTAAGGTGATGTTGCTATATCACGTTTATTCAAGGTGATATTGCTATATCGCGTTTATTTAAAGTGATGTTACTATATCACGTTTATTTAAGTTGATATTACTATATCACGGTTTTTTAAGGTGATATTACTGTGTCACTTTTATTTAAGATAATGTTGCTATATCAGGTTTATTTAAGGTGATGTTGCTATATCGTGGTTATTTACTATATCATTCTTTTTAAGTTGATATTACTATGTCACGTTTATTAAAGGTGATATTACTGTATAACTTTAATTTAAGGTGATGTTACTATATCACGTTTATTTAAGGTGATATTGCTATATCGTGTTTATTTAAGGTGATGTTGCTATATCACTTTTATTTAAGGTGATGTTGCTATATCACGTTTATTTAAGTTGATATTAGTTTATCACGGTTTTCTAAGGTGATATTACTGTATCACTTTTATTTAAGATGATGTTGTTATATCGTGTTTGTTTCAGATGATGTTGCTATATCGGGTTTATTTAACGCGATGTTGCTATATCGTGTTTACTTAAGGTGATGTTGCTATATCGTTTTTATTTAAGGTGATGTTGCTATATCGTGTTTATTTAAGGTGATGTTGCAATATCACATTTATTTAAGGTGATATTGCTATATCGCGTTTATTTAATGTGATGTTACTATGTCACGTTTTTTTAAGGTGATGTTGCTATATCACTTTTATTTAAGGTGATATTGCTATATCAATTTTATTTAAGGTGATATTGCTATATCGTGTTTATTGAAGATGATGTTGCTATATCACTTTTATGTTCAGATGATATTGCTTTATCGTGTTTATTTAATGTGATATTGCTATATCACTTTTATTTAAGGTGATATTGCTATATCGCGTTTATTTAAAGTGATATTACTAAATCACGTGTATTTAAGTTGATACATGTATTACTATATCACGTTTCTTTAAGGTGATGTTACTATATCGTGTTTATTTTAAGTAATGTTGCTATATCGCGTTTATTTAAAGTGATGTTGCTACATTTTGTATATCACGTTTTATTTAAGGTGATATTACTTTTTTCACGTTTTATTTAAAGTGACATTACAACATCACGTTTAATTTAAGGTGACATTACGATATATCACGTTTTATTTAAGATGTATTTAATATATCGCGTTCATTTAAATCGAATTTACTACATTGCATATATTTAAGGTGATGTTGTTCAATGTATATCATGTTTATTTAAGGTGATGTTGCTATATCACGTTTATTTAAGGTGATCTGGCTATATCATGTTTATTTATGGTGATGTTGCTATATCACGTTTAGTTAAGGTGATGTTGCTATATCACGTTTATTTAAGGTGATGTTGCTATATCACGTTTATTTAAGGTGATATTGCTATATCGTGTTTATTTAAAGTGATGTTACTATATCACGTTTATTTAAGATGATATTACTATATCACTGTTTTTTAAGGTGATATTACTGTATCACTTTTATTTAAGATAATGTTGCTATATCAGGTTTATTTAAGGTGATGTTGCTATATCGTGGTTATTTAAGGTGATATTGCTATATCGCTTTTATTTAAGGTGATGTTGCTAGGTGATGTTAATATATCACGTTTATGTAAGGTGATGTTGCTATATCGTGTTTATTTATGATGATGATGCTATATCGCGTTTATTTAACGTGATGTTGCTTTATTGCGTTTATTTAAGGTGATATTGCTATATCACTTTTATTTGAAGATGATATTGCTATATCGTGTTTATTTAATGTGATATTGATATATCAATTTTATTTAAGGTGATATTGCTATATCGTGTTTATTTAAGATGATGTTGCTATATCACCTTTATTTAAGGTGATATTGCTATATCGCGGTTTTTTAAGGTGATATTACTGTATCACTTTTATTTAGGATAATGTTGCTATATCAGGTTTATTTAAGGTGATGTTGCTATATCGTGGTTATTTAAGGTGATGTTGCTATATCAGGTTTATTTAAGGTGATATTGCTATATCAGGTTTATTTAAG